CGCCCCCATTGGCCCGAGACGGCGAACCGCTGCCAGTGGGGGCCGCGATCGGCCGAACCTGCCGCATCAGCAGGTAAATAAAACTGGCCCGGCCTGCCAGGGTGCTTACCCTGGCGAGCTGCGTGCCAAACGTTGCCGATCCCTGGACTAGATCAATCAGAAGCATAAATTAGCATTTCTCTACACTACAAGAATTATACTGCAGTTGATTAAAAGGCTTTAGTCAGAGACCCCTTTTAAATAAAGTGCCTTCCCTCCCCAATAAAATACTTTTCCCCCCACTATTGGCCATAGTGTAATGTTATATAGAGTGGTAAGTTCACACAAGCAGATTACTTCCCATGCATATGAGAGTTATAGATCTTATGCTGGGAGTTAACTTCACTCTCCTAGTCAATAAATATGCCTTTCAATAAGACAGGTTCCAAAGTCCAAGGGTGTTTGAAAGCTTTAGTGCATAAGGGCTACTGTATATACCTATAATCGTTACCAATATATAATTAAGTACTTTGGGATACTTAGAGTGTGTGACTAATCTCAACTATTTTACTTTGCACATTATTTTGGTTCTATACAAAGTTTTCACTAGTTTCCACAAATTCATTCTTCCATTCAAGGTAGTTTGGTCTCTGAATTACATATTTTAGGAACAATGAGAAAGTCACTGTCAGTAATCTGCTAATAACCTCCACTGGCAGGATTGTGCGGCATTGTCATGTCTGAAATATGAAGGATAAGCAAAGAACTCTCCTCACATGAGTTTAGGAGACACATGGTATGTGATGGTGGGTTAAGACTAGCATGGAAATATAAAGTGAACACATTGCAAAGATTTGCTTGGTTGTATAGACTCCTGAAAGCTAGTTTTTATAGACATAAAATAACTGTTTCAGCACGTTAGACACTTATAGCTGGTATGTGGGAGAACTTAACAGTTCAAGACTACAGATGGTTTTACAGAATATACAGACCATAGTGAGAAGTAGAAGTGTACCCACCTAATTCCCCCTCTACTTACATTCGTCCCTGCTGTAACGGGGATGTTGTCTTTGGGTATTGGCATCTGAATCACTTTTAGCTTTTTCTGTCTTCGGTGCCTGGTTGCAACTAGACCATAAAACACTCTTGCAACAGAACGTAGCTCCTGTTTCTTGCAACATATCAAGTCTGAAATCAGTAGATTCTTTTTGTTCCAAAATACTTTGTGAACACTTTGAGATACTCCCAGAACTTCCATCTATCCATTTTGCAGAGTACCTGGGTACTTGGGAGTCAAATTGTGGAAGCAGTTTTCTGTCTGTCTGATGTCTGAAGTTAAAAAGCTGGTGTTGAGAAGTTTTTGTGCTGTCTGAATCAGAATCCAAATCTTTGTTTTGTGCATACTGTATAATCCTGTTAATTTTTTTGCTCAAGATACTTTTTACTTCTGCATAGGTACTTTTGGAGAGTTTTGATCGTGGGCAGTCCTGATTTGCTATTAAATGGAATTTTTCAAAGCAGTCTCTGTGCCCCCTTAATGATCTTGTGTGTAGAAGATTGGACTTTGGTACCCCTGTAAAGACAGAAATGACATTGACTATGTAAACTGCGTGTTATTCCATAATACCTTTAATACTTAGAAAGCAAATGCTTACATTTTAGAAGTTAAATTTGTGGTTCTACATATTGTTTCCAGGACTCTCATACAAAATGTGTTGGCAGTTTTCCATGTAAATGGATCTGAAGACAACTGAGGTTTCAATGAGCACAAAAAGGCCATACGTATATGCTGCATCAACACTTAAGTATCAGAGTATTAGACTTACTGTTTTTGTTTTGGAGCGACAAGGTGGGTGATGTAATATCTGTTATTGGACGAACTTCTGTTGGTAAAAGAGACATGCTTTTGAGCTACAAAAAACTCGTCTTTAAATTGTTTTTACCACAAGGCTTGAGAAATCTTATTACCTGGTCATCTTTGATGAGTGGAAAGGCTGAGTGCTCTACATCAACTTCTGCAGAATCCAAGCTTTTACTCAAAACTAAGTTTCTAGCCCTTACAGTTTCAAAAAGAACCTTCCAAACATGAAGCTAGTGCACAACAATGCACTGGCTTCACCCTGAGTCCCTCTATTGCCAATTAGAGATTCCCAAGCTGCAGCAGAATTAAATTAACAAGACTCAGGTTAGTTTTATTTCTGATTTTGAAACTTAAGAGTGTCAGTTTCATACTGTGGCTTAGGAAAGCATGTAGTGCTGAAACCGTTTATGGGGAGAGAGGAACCAAAAGAACAGAAAGCGAGGGAGAAAGACAAGCAATGGAGACCTTCTCTCCCTTTTCTCTTTTCAGCAGCCAGAAGCGTCTGGTGGAGGAGAAACAAAATTTCTCACCTTCCAGGAGCTACACAGGTTAAAAGACCCTACTAGCCAGATACAGGAAAGACTGACCTTCAAGTAAGGTCCAAGGACAGATCCCTACCCAGCAGCTGCAGGTTGGGCTTCTCACCAAGATACTGCCTCAACTCTTCACTGACATCTTTCTACCCTCCATGTTTCATATCTACCATTGGCTAGTATGTGGCAGAAGACAGGTTGTTTTTTTCTGCGCTCTGGTTTATCTACTCTATAGTCTTCAAAGATAACCTGCAAAAGACTTTCAAAGCAAACTGCAGTGATAAAGGTATATACATTTCTAGTGTAAACCAGAGAAAGGCAAATCATTTTTCTTTTCAGGGCTTTCCAATATAACTTAAATATAGCAAATCTGCTTAAATCAAGAGGCAACAAGCCTTTGCTGCAAGCCATTAGATCTTAAAGCCATCGGGGAATAGAAAGTCAAAGTTACAGGGAATACATTGCTTAAAAGCCTCCACAGACTTTTGAGATTGATCTTTTCAATACAACCCCCCACCTCCGCCTCTTTTCAGCATGAAATGCTGCCGATATTTTATGCTTATAAAAACTTAGAGTCTCTCGTATCTTTAAGTGAAAGGATTATACAAGTTACTGTATTTTAAGACTCTCTCTTTGTCTAACAGTGCTGCACAGAAAAGAAGCTACTAATGATTTGGATAGGAAGCAGAATGCACAATGAAGTCTGTTCTTTTTGTTGGATGGACAAAAAACAGTCCAATGCAGCAATAACTAAGGATGCCCTGAAGGTCTTGTGCAAGAAAATGGGGGAGGGAAGACAGAAAATGTTTTATCATTAAGTTTAGAATAAATGCAAGTTTCAGTATACAATGTCTCTAAGTGATTAAGTTTTTGCCTAGTACCCATACCTGGTGACCGTAATATGGAATGATCAGTTTAAAGAGTAAGTATTGACATAACAATATGCTCATTTGTTTCCTTCCATGCAAAACAAGAAAGTCATTAGTCGATAGAGGATGAATTTCTTGGCCCCTTCCCCACAAAGTTAGTTTCTTAACTACGGTTGTTTGGGGGATGGGGAGGATGGATGAAAGGAATTTAACCCACACCGCCAAACTGATGTCCCAAATCTATTTAGAGAATACTTTAAAAACAAAATAACGTCATGTGGTTCACACCAAGGCTGAAAAAAGTCTGCCAGACACACACTAACCATAGGATTTTTGAGCAAGAACATCAGTTCTGCAAAGTAGTTAGTGTGACTCCATCTCATACAAAAGACTCCAGATTAGGCAGCAGACTCCATCAATTTGCTCACAGATGGCCACAGACTAGGTTGCATAAATGGATTTGGATGCTGTCCAGAAAAAGCTATTCCTTAAAACTGCTCAATTATCTAAGGGCAGGTCTTCACTACGGGGGGGAGGGAGGTCGATTTAAGATAGGTCGAATTCAGCTACGCGAATAGCGTAGCTGAATTCGACCTATCT